TGATTCACCCACGGCTCCCCGGGGCGGGTTTGGGCTGTCCCCCCTGCGGTGCCCGGTGCTTCGGGCTCCTCCCGGTGCTTTATGGTGCCCCCGTTGCTCTCCCTGGTGCTCTGGGACCCCCAGTGCTGCACTGGGGTGCCTCCCCCCCGCAGCGCTGGGTGCTTTGGGTGCCCTCCTGCAAAGCCCTGGGGCCACCCCCGCCACTGCCAGGTGCTGCAGGTGCCCCCGGCAGTGCCTGGTGCCCCCCAGCTCTTCGGGGTGTCCCCGGCTGTGCTTTGGGGTGTCCCCAATGGTGCCTGCGCTTCAGGAGCACTTTGGGTGCCCTCGCTCCGGCCTTGCCCCCTGCACCCCCTGTGCACCCTTTGCCCGCAGCCGTCTCGGAGCTGCGTCCGCGGTGGCACCAGAGCTCCCCGGGGCCAGGCACGGGCTCCCCGGGGACACGCAGCGGGTCCCCGCGCACCCTCATCGCGGCCTCCGAAAGGCACCGGTGCTTCCCGTCCCTCCCGTCGCTTCTCCTTTCCGAGCCCCGTCTCGAAACCAGGGGGGTGACTGTCCCCGCTCGCTCCGGCGTCCAGCCCCGGCGCTCTCCTCCTGCGGGATGGAGCTGGTGGGACGCTCATGGGCGCATCGAGAAGCTGCTTCCCAGCCCAGCTGGAAAACCACTGGAAAATCTTTCTGGAATATCAGTGAAAAAGTCCAGCAGCTGTCACGGGGTGGGGGAAAAAGAGGATAAACAGGGAAGGAAAGGTGCCCCCCCATTCCTCCCTGCTGTGCATCAGGACGGATTTAAGCCCCTTGGAGCAGCTCCCTCCTGGCAACTTGAGCGGGTCACAAAAGGAGGGATTTTAGGAGAGCTGCAGAAAATGAGGTGCGAGACCAGACTTTAACCGGGAAGCTCCAAACCTGGGAGCGAGTACGGCCGGGAAGGGACAGAGAGCCCCTGCCAGGGCTGGGAATAGGGAAACCGGAGCCTCGGCTCCCTCCTTCCGCTGCCACCGCCTGACCTTGGCCACGTCTCCTGCCGGACTGGGATTTACGACGAGCACTTGTTGGCTCTGCCCCACAGCAGCCCGTGCCGAGGCGATGCCGGAGCGGGGCCGGGGCCACGAGAGCCCTCGGGAGGCACCGCCGGCCTCGGAACTGGGGGAGCCGGGGCCCTGGCCGTGCGGATGCTCGGGATGCTGGAAGCAGCCGCGGGCTCCGGCCGGGCTGCAGCACCGCGGCGGCACCAGCAGCGATGCCGGTAGCCGCTCCGGGGCCGCCTGGAGCAAAATCCCTCCCTGGCAGCCGGGAAGGAGCCCGGCTCGGCCCGGCTCCAGCGCCGCCGCTCCTGCCTTCGGCTCTTATTTATCCTGTCAAACGCCCTGCCGGGGGTTTGTTTATTTGCCCTTTTCCCAGGCAAATTCTGTGCTGGGCTTGCACTGCACTGAGCTCACGACTATCCCGTGGAGAGCGTCCCCACTGCAGCTACCGGTGCTGGCAGCTGCCTTGTGCCAGGGCACCTGCTGCCCGCTTCCCCTGTCCCACGCCGTGACCCATTCCCATGGGATTTATCCCTGTCGGAGGGGCCGCGAGCTCAGTATGGGGACTTGGGGCCCCGGCTGCTGCACCTTGCTGCAATGTGCCAGCTTTGGCAGCCCCCTTGTCACCCTCCCTGTGCGATCTCCATCCCTCTCCCCTATGGAAAAGTTGCTCTTTGTTTTCCTTCCTCGAGTGAGCGGCTGCCTGGAGCCCCGTTTGGCACCGGGACCCGGCCCTGCCACGAAGCCACAAACCCATCTGTAAACAGGCAGAAGCCGCCTCCGTGCGCGTCCTCCCGCGCGTCCCGCCAGCAACGGCGAGCGAGCCAGGACAGGGAAAGGCCAGAGCCACCCGCGGGGCTCCCGCGTCCCCTGCCGTCCCCACACAGGTGGCCTCGTCCCTATGAGCCTTGCACGACCCTCCGCAGAGCCCTGCTGCAGGAAAGGCAGGAAAGGAGCCTTTTCTTAATGCTCCCTGGTGCCCCGCGAGGCTGGGAAAACCCCCACGGTGCCTCAGCCAGGGAATTTTTAAACATAAAACTTGCACGATCCATTAGTCCCGTCTGGACGTCTGCGAAGATGGATGGCCCTGCATGGCGGGGGATGCCAGAGCAGGCTCCAACTAGCTGTATACACACACACACACATACATATATATATATATATACATTTCTCTGTGTAATTGATACCTCTCAATTTTAAAACTTTTTAACCAGCCCTACCTCCTCCCTTCCCATCTTTTTCACCCTGTTTTGGTGACAGTGGAATGCCCCTGTGCCGTTTCCCAGCTCCTGTTTGGACAGCGGCTTTGGGTGATCCCTGTGCCAGCTCCGGATCAGCCCTGGTCCCTCTAGGCTGCTCCCGTTGGGAAAAAGGGCTCCTTGGAGCTGGGTATGGTGCAGCCAGAGGGCAGATGTTTTCCTTGCCACGTATGTGCTCGCTGCCTGCTTAATAGTTTGCACAAGGCAGGAAATATCAGCAATAGCTTCTGCTTAATGGTGTTTAATCCTCCGGGCTCGTTAAAAGGCGTCCGGAGCGCCGTTATGGATGGGAGCGCTGCTGCCAGCCTGGCGGCCGCGGCTCCTGGCAACCCGCGGCTCTTTCCAGCGTGACGCCCAGCCCGGCGCTCCGGGCTGCTCTGGAAACCGTGTTGGGAAGGGAGGGGAGCGGGCGCCGCCGTCCTGCCGGCACCGCTCGGGCGTGGGATGGGATGAGGGGAAGCAGAGGCCCTTGCACACGCAGAGCTGTGTAAAGGCAGCTCTAGACCTGCTTCTTTCTTGGCCTTCTTTCTTTTTTGGGTGGTTTTATTTGGTTTTTTTTTTGCGTTTTCTCCCTTGGGTGCTGTGGCACGGCACAGCGGGACCTGCTCCACCAGGGCATCCAGGGGAGCATCCGTGCAGAGCCGGGTCCCACGCGCATCCCAGCGCGCCCAGGATCTCTGCCCGTGCAGACTCGCTCCAGACGTGACCCGTCCCGGCCTTCCTGTTTTCGGGAAGGGAAGTTTCTCCGTGCTCAGGTCTCCCTCGCCCCCTCGCACACCTCGGGTCCTTCCTTTCCTTGGAAGCTCCCAGCTCCTTGGCAGCCTCCGGGCTCCCACATTAATGAATAACCCGGCACTCACCATCCGCCCTCGCGCCCGCCTGGGCACGGGAGCTGCCAGAGGGAGCTCCCACCGGGGCTGCTCTCCTCTGTGCACAGGAGGAATTACCCAATTTCCAAGGAGCTCCGGCCAGGCCGTAACGCAGCGATTTCCCTGGCAGCGGCTGGGGAAGGAAGCGGGGTGGGAACGTGGCCGGGAGAAGTCACTGAAGCCGGAGTGGGTGCTGAGAGGGGGGGACTGGGAGCTTGTGGAGCCGTTTCAGGGAAAAGGATGGGTTGGTTTGTTATTCACCATCCTCTTTGGAAGGGAAAAGCCGCCTTCTGGCTCCAACACCGGCGCTGGCCCGGAGCTGGGGTCAGGGATGCATTTCCTAGCGCTGGCTGCCGTGATCCACATGCATCCCATTCCGACATGTTTCACCCCATGGCGTGGATCCGCTTGTGGATGTTCAGATCTTGGGGTTTGCTGCTCCGCTGGGGTGATTCGCTGATGTCTGATAAGGGTTGTGCTCCCCCTTGTAGTCCTCTTGGGATCCCCCCCTTCCTCAGCTCCCTGTTCCTCCAAGCCCCGAGCGCGCTCGTGGTGGACGGGGCTGCTCCGGGATGTGGGTTTCGTGCCCCCATCGCTGCCAGGCAGGTGCCGGGGCGTCCCGCAGCCCCGCGCGTCCCCGGGGACGGCTGCGAGGACGGCGCTGACGGGCCCTGCCTTGCGTTGCAGCACGGGGAGCAGCGACCCGTACTGCATCGTGAAGATCGACAACGAGCCCATCGTCAGGTGAGCGGCCCCTGCGCGGACACGCTCTGCCCTCCCGATTCCGGAGCGCCTGGCGAAGGAAACGCCAGCTCCAATCCATAGACTTCCCCTTTTCCCTCTCCTGATCCCCACGGGGCCCAGACCTGACGGAATGTGCCCGTTGCTCTGTGGGTTTCCCACGTTTTTCCTTGCTCTGAGCACTTTTTTTTTTGTCACCGTTGGCTTGGGGGCGAGAGCCCTGTCCCCTCGCCAGCGCTGCCGCCCGCCCCGCAGGACTGCCACGATGTGGAAAACGCTGTCCCCGTTCTGGGGGGAGGAGTACGAAGTGCATCTCCAGCCCAGCTTCCACAGCGTCTCCTTCTACGTCATGGATGAGGACGCGCTCAGGTAGGGACACATCACTGCTAGGGCAGGCGACCGGGTCCTCCAGGTGTTGCAGCAGGGAAAGGCAGGATGCTCAACCCCATACTAGGCACTGGAGAATCCCCACCTCATTCCTTCTGCTATGGGTTGGCCTGGGTGGGCCAGAGGGGTGCCTGGGCTGCGGGACGGAGGCAGGTGAAGCGTCGTGGTGAAGTCGCACGTCGTGTCCCCATCTGGAATGTCCCCGCGCTCGGGGACAGCAGCGCAGGACCCGGCGGTCCCGGGCGCCCAGCTGAGCCTCCCCGGCCTCTGTTTTGCAGCCGCGACGACGTTATCGGGAAGGTCAGCATCACCCGGGACACGCTGGCAGAGCACCCCAAGGGTAGGAGGCCCTGCTCCCGCTGGGGGGACCCTCTAAAGCCGGGGTGGGCAGCAGCCCCCTCGAGCTCCCTCGAGGGAGGAAACGGGGCAGTGCTGGGGAGGAGGAGGCCCTCGGCTGCAGCATCCACGGGGC